TAATTACAAAACAGGAATCATTAAATTAAAATTAAATACATATTTGTAATCATGTCATGTTTCCTGAATCCAATTAACGAAACCTGCATTTTAAGATTTATATTGACGAAAAAAAGCAAAAAAAAAAAAAAAGAAAAATAAATTTTTTTTAATTACTGAATTGATTTTTTTTCTTTGCTGTTTTTTTAAATGCTGTGGTAATACGTCAAGGAAGTATTATATATATATATGTAACTAACAGTAAATTGGGAGAGGTATATTGCAAGCAGTAATGTTGCAGCATAGAGTTTGTTCTGTCAATTTCTGTTTAGTCACTCTTGTCAAATGTCTCTTTCCTATTGAATGGTTCAACTGTAGATTACCAATACACCATAAAAGGATCTCGATTCTAGATATAGAATGACGTGACACAATGTTTCTTTATTTTATATTTTAGTTTTTTTCTTTCAAATAGACGCGATTACCGGCTTATTGTTGAGGCACTATATACGCATTCTCATAATAAGCAATCAGACATTGATGTCTTCCTTCTGTTTTTGAAATCGCTTTGCAAATTTATCTCCTTGATTTAATCCCATATATATTCCTCCGCTCTTAGACAGATGAATTGCGTGAACTTTGTGAATTTGCATTTTATGTACTATTTAGAAATCGATTAAGTTTTGTTCTGCATTTTTTTCTGTCGTGTCTTAAAGAGAAATTTTATTTTATTTTTAATTTAACTTAAATTTTTCTATTTTTTATTTCATTTTTCTTTATTTTATTTTTATTCATTTCGTATTTAAACATTTATAAAGAATTTTAAAGTATTTATTGACAGTGATAGAAAAATGGATCGCTGCCAGGAATCGAACCTTCGAGTCTCGAAACACTAGTCGAGAACGTTAACCACTAGTAACCAATAGGCTTTAATAAAATAAATTTCTTATTAGGCGCATTTTTATTAAGTCAAATTATTTAACAGGGTTACCACAGGTCAGGGAAGTCAGGAAATTCAGGGAAAAGTCAGGGATTTTTATTAAAAGTACTAGAAAAAATTAAATTTTTAGAATTTATAAGAAAATTCTGAATTTTTGAGTCTTTTTTGTTTGCCTCATAAACTATGAAATTGCCAAGAATATAAATAAATGTAATAGAACAATTTTTTGAGTACCTAATAATTTTTTGATTGAATCAAAATATTCTTCAGGGTCAGGGAAAAAGATAATAATTAAAAAATATATTTAATAGTTTAAATAGTAATGGAGTAGAAAATAGTATTAAAAAAATTAATAGTTTTAATAAAAATAGAGTAAAAAATAATAATTAAATAAGTTAATAGTTTAAATAATAATAAAGTTAAAAAATAAAAGTTAACGAAAAAAATTAATACTTTAAATAATAAAAGTAAATAATGGTGACTAATAGTTTAAATAATTGCTACTGATTTTATTACTAATAGTAAAAAAAATGAAAAAAAAATAATTTACTGAAAATTGAACTGAAAATTAACTGAAGAGCCTGAAAATTACTAAATCATTAAAAAACGTTTTCATAATATAATTCGATTGAGAAAGATAAGAAAAAAAAATTCTAAGTACTAATTTATGTATCGAGACCTTGGCCTCTAATTTACTCAGTGGGTTAAGAAAATAACATCCTGAATCCGAAGGTCCTCGCTGTAAGGTTTAAAAAGTCATTTTTATTTTAATAACAGTTTCCCTTTGTATATAGGAGAAGCCTTAATAATGCTTCTATTGTTACCGGAAATCCGTACAATCAACGGCATCATATTTTTTTGATAAATAATATCCTACGTCATCTGTTTCAGTTAGACGTTCATTTTAAGACCTCGTTCTTTTTTTGTAAATTAACAATTATGTAGTTTTATTATTTAAACCAAAATTCAAAATCATTTTTACCTATAAATCTTAAACAATCGTCTCCTGTCTGTCAATATTGAGAAATAATTTCGAATTGAAAAATTACGTAAGTGATGACTTTTATATATAAATTTAATGAAAATTTCATAGTTGTATCAATTTTAAGGTAAATTATATCCCAAAAAAATATTTATTATTGATAAATAATTATTAAATTATTCTTGCTAATAATATTTTTTAAAATTTGATTTGACCAATATAATTAAGATAACAATTCGCTTGTAAATAGAAAAAAAAAATAACTAGAATTGAAAAACAATTTTAATTAGAATTAAACTAAGAAGAGAAATTTAAATATTTGGATTAAATTTAACATTAAAAATTATTAATTAAAAATGTAATATTAGAAATTAATAAAAATAGAATAAATAATGCTATATATAAATTATACAGAATAGAAATTAGAAACTAATAAAAATAGACAAAAACTAATATTAAATATAAAATATTAAGAAAAGAAAAAACAAAATTTAAAAATAGAATATTAAAAAAAAACGTAGAAATTAAGAATAGAATATTTTAAGTAAAATTTCGAGTAATTTTCAGTATTGATAGATGTATTATATGTTTTAATAGGAAGAAAGAAGAGTGATTTAGAGTATATATGAAGAAAATGAGATATTCAGACGCGTCCAATAGTCATGAGAGGTCAATGTCTTTAAAAATTAAATATCGCGAGAATGAAACACACAACCAAGAGCTTTTTGTCACTCAATTATAAAAGACATATTAAAATGCAACAGCAAAAAAAAAAGAAAAATACACAAAAAACAAATTTACTCCCTAATTTTATAACAAGATTTGCTAAAATTAATAGTCATAGTCTACATGTGTGGCCAATTTTGCAATGCCAACGAACTCGCGAAATAAATTTTCCACGAAAAATTACTTTTACGAATTATTTATCGTCAAAAACATACATATATATATAAAGTGTTCCAAAAATTAAGATTTCTTTTTTGCTGAAAAAAAGGAAAGAAAAACAAAACTTCATGGAAAAAAGTATTTCCATTATGTGAATAAATTTGATAAATTGCGCAAGTGTGACAGTTTTGTTTTTCGCGGAAGTGAAACTTTATTCTTTTCGAATCTACAGTTTTTTCTTTTTTCTTTTTCTTTTTTTGACATTTTTTTTTTGTTTGCTCTGTTAAATGTATATGTAATTTTCGCACTATATTGTTTAAAAGAATTCATTTTATTTACCTTATTCTTTAGTAATTTATTTATTTATTTTTTTTTATTTACTAGTGCAAATAGATTCTTAAAACTAAAATTGTGATTTTAATATCGCAATTTTTTCATTAAAAATAAAAAGAAATTGAAATATAAAGTAACTTCTTCTATTTACTAAGTAAAACCAAAACTCAAAAAATTTCTTTACATCTTAAACTAAAAAATTACATTTCAAACTAAAAAATTAAATATTGAAGTAAAAAATTAAAATTTGAAATTAAAAAGCCAAGTCCCGTTTACTAATTTTATTATTTTCGGAATGTAAAGTGTACTACGTCCAAAGTAAATTTTAATAAATTTAATCTATACTGAAATTCACTTTTAAAATAGTAAAAAATTGACAAAAAGAAGCATAATTTTTTTACATTTTAAGTTTTTAATAACTCAGAGTTAAAATAAGTTAGTTTTAGTTGAAGATGAAATTTTCTAATTTAAAATTTAATTTGTTGGTTTCAAATTTAATGTTTTAATTTAAAATTCCATTTTTCAATTCAAATTTTAATTTTTTAATTTAAAATTCAATTTGTTAGTTTAAAATTTAATGTTTTATTTAACATTTAATTTGTTAGTTTTAATTAATTTTATTTAATTTTAATCTAATTTGTTTGTTTAAAATTTCTTTTTTTAAATCAAGATTTAATTTTTTTTAGTTTGAAATGTAATTTTTTGATTGAAGGTGAAATTTTCTAATTTAAAATTTAGTTTGTTGGTTTAAAATTTAATGTTTTAATTTAAAATTTCATTTTTTAATTCAACATTTCATTTTTTTAGTTTGAAATGTAATTTTGGGTTGAAGATGAAATTTTCTAAATTAAAATTTAATTTGTTGGTTTGAAATTTAATGGTTTAATTTAAAATTTCATTTTTTAATTCAACATTTCATGTATTATTATATGATACCAAAAATGGAAGAATAAATTTATAAAATTTAGTAAAATAATTGTAATAATATTATTAACAATAATAATACCTAAAATAAAAATATACTTATATTATGTTGTTTAATAAAAAAAACAGCAGACTTGTCCCGTCTATAAATAAATAAATAGTGATTCAACAATTTCTACTTCCGACTAATAAAAAAAAATGAAAATAATTATAAAAATAGTAAAAACAATTTAAAGCATTAATAAATAGTATTTAGGATAAATAATTTTTGAAATGAAACGTTAATATTTTCGAGTAGAAAAAATACATTTGCCCGATTTCCACGAAATCAGTTTGGAAAATAAATTTATAAGCGTCTACTGCGCTTTTTTTTAATGATCTAAGAGAGTGATATAATTCGGAAGAGCTTCGCGGTAAAAAAGAAATAAAAAAAAGAGAAAAATAACAAAAAAAAAGTCAATAAATATAAAATTGGCTCAGTAGATTATTGTTTAAAATCTTTGGCTCTGCTCCAAATTGAAATATTGTAAACAAGTCTTTTCTTGAAAGTATCCCATTGGCCTAATCCTCATTTCAAAGCCAATGGAATACATAGTTAAAGAAAGAGAGAGAGAGAAAGAGATAGACTCTTTGAAGTCACGATATTACGATTTATAACTTACACTGCGAGGAGGCCATTCGTCTCACACTCGCCTCAAACAAATCAGGTTGCTCACCGCATGCTTAAAATGCAGGTTGTATCATTCAATTTTACAGAAATGGAAATAGAATTTAAATATTGGTGAGAAATACCTTTAAATGTATGTATATAATTCGCGAGTAGGGAAGAAAAAAATTTCTGGAATAATTGAATAAAATTAAAATAAGAAACAAGTCGATATGAAGAAATACTGTGAAAATAGATGGTGGGAATTATTTTTTCCGAAAAAAAGAAGAGAACATTTTTTTTTGACTCACCTTCGTACATTTGTGCATATTGCGGAAATCCTGCAGCTCTTAACCATTTACAAGTTTCTTGTGCTTCGATTTCTGAAAAAAGTAAAAAAAAAAATTATTAGATTTTTTACCTTTTTCTATTGTTTAATTTTTTTGGGTCAATTTTTTTCTATTCGGTTTATACTTATCAAAATTTTCAATGTTATTCTTTGTTTCTGAATAAAATTACATTTACAGTAAAGTTTACATAATGTTTATAGTTCAGTAATTGAGGGGCCGGATGTATCAACTGCCTCTACGCTCGAACGTGTTGTCTGTCTCTTTTTTCGCAAGATAAGATGTCGGAAAAAGTATCTGAAATTCCGAAGTCAATGAAAAGCAAAAATAAAAATTGTTCTCAATAGAGCTTATATAAATACACATTTTTTATTAAGAAAATTTTGTTCTGTGACTTTTATTTTTCTTGATAAAAAATAAAAACTAAATTTTTCCACCGGGTTAAAATAATTAAATTTTAATACTCAACTCGTGATATTTTGTTAACCAATGAAGCAAAATAGTTGTAACTTCACATACCTTCGTAGAAAACCTCGCTGATTCCAGCGAAATGATTAAAATAATAAAAAAGTATAATTTGTTAATAGTTTTTAGCTGCAAAGTAAGTATTGTCGTGACACGTGTTTTAGAAACTTTAAACGAAAAAACATTGCGATGAAGTTTCGAATTTAAAAAATTTTTTTATTCTAACTTGTTAAGTAGTATTTGATAAAGTTTTTCTGAAAATATTGCTTTCTTTAACCGATAACTATACTTTCTACAACAGTTTGTTTAAAAAGACGTCAGCACGCTACGAGATGTTTCGCAGCGCAGCACTCGCAAGTAAACGACAACTCCTTTGATATAAGTCTATATAATTGTTTTTGACAGGAGAAAAAAGGGTTTATAATATAAATAATAATTATTTTCAAAACATTTGAAATAAATCTAAAAATTTTTTAATACACATTTTACATTTCGAGTTATAAAAATATTGTAATACATAGAATGTAACTGGATTACTTATACCGTATATTAGTCTATGGCAATTTTAATACTTTTACGTTACGTAACAACTAAACAATGAGTAATTTAATTTACATTTATTTTTGTAACATTTACGACGCTAACTAATGAATTATTATGCATAACTTTGGTTTGTTTTTTACCCTTTTCAAGTTTTTAAATAAAACATTTTTAATAAGAAAATAATGTTCTTTAAGATAATACGACGTTTTTCTTTTAATTTTAATAAAATTATATTCTCGTTTGGTACGCTGTGTACATTTATGCATAAAAATGTTTCGTTCCTTTAATACGTAGATTTTTATAGTTTACAGAAATATCCAAAATTCTGTTTATTTAAACGATCAAATTCAATTATCAAAGTTTATTGCAAATTTCTAATCTTCCTTTGTAGATTTAACTCCTACTTGTTTTAAGTAAGTTGCAAAAAACTGCCGCGACTCAGGAGATACAAAACTCAATAACGCCTTTAAATCATTAATTTTTTCCTTCGTAATTCCAACTTTTTTAGCAAGAGAGCAGCTTCCTAAATCATCGAAACTTACTGTTTTTTCAATAAAATAAGTTACTGGTATTTCTTTTCAGTAATGAAATGAATAAACTAAAATAGTCTCAATCTGTTCCAAACAAACAACTTGGGAATCAATGTATTCGTTTACTTGCGAGTGCTGCGCTGCGAAACATCTCGTAGCGCGCTGACGTCTTTTTAAACAAACTGTTGTAGAAAGTATAGTTATCGGTTAAAGAAAGCAATATTTTCAGAAAAACTTTATCAAATACTACTTAACAAGTTAGAATAAAAAAATTTTTTAAATTCGAAACTTCATCGCAATGTTTTTTCGTTCAAAGTTTCTAAAACACGTGTCACGACAATACTTACTTTGCAGCTAAAAACTATTAACAAATTATACTTTTTTATTATTTTAATCATTTCGCTGGAATCAGCGAGGTTTTCTACGAAGGTATGTGAAGTTACAACTATTTTGCTTCATTGGTTAACAAAATATCACGAGTTGAGTATTAAAATTTAATTATTTTAACCCGGTGGAAAAATTTAGTTTTTATTTTTTATCAAGAAAAATAAAAGTCACAGAACAAAATTTTCTTAATAAAAAATGTGTATTTATATAAGCTCTATTGAGAACAATTTTTATTTTTGCTTTTCATTGACTTCGGAATTTCAGATACTTTTTCCGACATCTTATCTTGCGAAAAAAGAGACAGACAACACGTTCGAGCGTAGAGGCAGTTGATACATCCGGCCCCTCAATTTTTGGGGAAAAAATATTTCTCTATGCAAATTGTTGAAGACAATTATTATTAATTATAGTTATTTAATTTTTAATCTCTTATATTAATTTTTTAAGTTTAAATATTTCTGTACTTCAATAATTTTATGAAATTAATTAATGAAAATTTTATAAATTCCTGTGTACGCATCTTGATTTTCAACGTACGATAAATAACTATATATAGACAAAAATATTCCTGTAAAGTGTCTTAAATTTTTCTATAAGTTTTTCAAATTATTGAAATTTCGTTAATTTGAATTGAAATCAATTAAATTTTAAATTATATTTTTTGAATAATTTAAAATTTTCAAAGTACTTCCTTGATTTTACTGAAAATTATTAAAAATAATTGATTTAGAGAAGAATTTTTGAGTTAAAAATTCTAGAAAAAATTAATTTGTTTCTGTCTTTTTTTTCTTGTTTAGTTGTTTCATTTTTGAAATGAGACAATATTGCAAATCATTTAAAGCGCATTTCATTTACGATAAGCCATTCATCTTTTATAAATCGTCCTTGAAAGGGATTGACGTTCCGATCACTGTTTAATATCTCGGCATAGAAGAATATAAATATTGATAAGAGACAAATCACGAACAAAAAGAGGGAAATTATTTTTTAGAAACTTTGGCAAAGGAGAAAAATTGCAGAGAAATGAAAAACAACCGCAAACTAACGTCACTGTTATACTGCCTCTCTAATGAAGATTAATTCTCCTAGACCAACTGCAATGACGCGTGCGATCAATCTCAACATTGTAAATCGTTTATTGCAGTGATGTATTATTTTCCATCTCCACCCCTTTCCTCATCTTTATGGACCACGTATCAAGACCTTCGTATTATATATTTATATAAAGAAGAAGAAAATTATTTTAGAAAATTTCTTTAAATCGTTTCGTTTCATTAATTGTATCAGCTAAAAAAATCGTATTTGTTTACATTTACTACATTGTTTTTAATTTGGTTTTAATTTGAAATTTTATAAACTTTCAACTTGGAATGAATTTAATTAGAAATTTTAAAGAACTTAAATATTTGAAAAATTTTAATAATTCAAAATCTCCTAAAATTAGTTAAATTTGTCAATATTATTATAACAATATTTTTATCACAAAATTCAATTATTTTCAAAAATTTTCCTCATTTCAATATAAGAAACATTAAATTATTCAATAAATAATTTACTTTTGTATTTAAATAATTGAATTCTCGTCGAATTTTCTAATAAAAATCGATTTAAAAATGAATTTTAGTTAAAAATTTTAAATTATAATTGAATATGAAAATAATTTTTAAGAAGTTACAGTAACATCTTTAATTATTATAAAAAATGAAGAAATCGATCACTCTGAGTCTTCGACTCGGAGCAATCGATATCTTCATTTTTTATATCAATGTTTTTAAAGTTCTTTAATTTCAAAAAGGTTTGAATTAGAAAATTTTTGAAAATCTTGATTCCTATGGAAAAATAAGAATAATAAAATATTTATTTAAATAAGAAGTTATTGATGTTGAATAATTTTGCAATTAAAGAAATTTCTAAATAAATGTAACAGAACATTTTTTTCAGTAAAATTTTTTCCTTAATTTTCTAAAAATTCAAAAATTTTCATTTTCAAAATTTGTAATTGACAAATAGAATTTATAAACATTTTTTTCCTTTATTTTAAAAAAACTGAATTTTATTAAAACAATTGTAATTGAGAAATAGAAATTATGTAAATTATTTCCTTATGAAAATTAAAAATTGAAAATTTTCTTCAACAAATATTAAGAAACGGGAATATGTAATGTTTTTTTTCTCCATAAAGTAAAAGAATGAGTTTGTGAACAATATTTTTATTGAGAAATAAAAATTACGCATAAAATGGGGTTTTCTATTTCCTATTTCTTAATCATAATTCTTTGACAATTTTCTATTTTTTATAAATAAAAAGAAGAAAAATTTTCTAACGAAATGGATTTTATTTGTTAATCATCGTTGTTTTAAATTTTTCAATCATCATGAAAATCATGAATTTAACTTCAAACTGCGGACAGAATGAATGAAAGAATACAAAGATTAATATAGTTAATGACAATTAATTAATATTTATAAAAAAAATAATTGTGTGACTTTCTGTCTAATATTTTATATCCATTTAGAAAATCTACAGAATTGTTCTAGTGAACTTCTATAAAATATTTACTATTTTTTTTCACGTTGAATCCGTAGAGTCGGTAGAATCTTCTATAGAATTATTCCATAGTAAAATTTTTATTTTACAAGAATTTTTTGACTATGGGAATTACTATAATTTGTCGAAATTCTGCATAAAAAGAAAATTTAATTTTTCAAAAGAAAAGTTGAATAAAGAAGAAACAATCGATTTTATCTAGCTTGGAAAAAGAAATATAGATTTGGATTTTTCCGCAACAATAATTGATTTTGACATGTTTTATAGACTCTTTCATTTAATAATTATCCCCATAATTCTGTTGAAAACAATTTCCGTTTTCCATAAAGACAGTACACGAGAGTCATAAAGTAAACAGGCAAAACAAGCGCAGTAACATGTCTTCCTTTGAAAATAATTGACTCAATAAAATTTCTAAAGACTAAATCCAACTTTCTTCCCATTGCGGTTGAACATTTCCACAATCTCGATCAAAGAAAGTCACATACAAAGTTCGCGACTATACTTTCTATATTATGGATTTTGCATCGTCGTTGTCGTTGTCGTTGTCGTTGACAATTGTA